TGTAGATGAACGAGGCAGAGATGAAGTGGAGATGTGAGGAGCGAACAGTTTAGCGATCGAGCCTTCTTTTCACGTTTCGGTGAGCGGTCTCTCATCCTTTCCAGTTTGCTCTCTGTCGGTTTCTCTGCTTTCGGCAGTAGTGATTCTTCTTGTCATCTCATATATCCCGGAAAGGGATATATTTGAACGAAGTAGCTAAATGGTTTTGGCTACTATAACCAAGTAGAATACGGTAGCAGTAATCGACTGGTACGCGTCGTTGTCGCAGGTAAGAAGTGTAGATCAATGGCGTGGTCCAATGGGCGTCGTTATAGACTTAGCTCTCAGACTAAGGCTCTTGACTCTGTCGTACCTACACGTCCTTCAGTATTTATGACCAGCCAATCATATTCCAGTGAGTGGGAACACAGGTGTATGCATATTCCATTATATCACCATCTTTGCCTAAAAAATGTTATTTATCAAGGACCCACGGTCTGGCTTCATTCAGTACCCCACTTTGTCTTTATTGTTTGCTATGGTTCTTGTGAGCTGATAAGGAAAATAACTGTCTGAAACAATTTCTGTCACATCTTTTAGTTGTTTCCATTTAACAAGATATCGGCTGACACTGATATCTGTACATATTACGTCATTGTGGCATTGATTCTGCTCAGATCACAGCATTAAGTTTAACGATGACATTTGTTTTAATAAATTTCTAAGTCTCGAGGTGCTACTCAAGGTAGCTATCTTTGGAATAGTAATGATGAAAGAAGATATATATATATATATGAGTGGAAGAATTAAAAAAGAAATCTATTTTCCTTCCAGTACAAGTCATAAAAGACGTTCAATGTTAATGTATGAGGTTGCTTTATGAACGTAAATGATGTATATTATGAGGATATGTAGGATAGAAAACAACTGATTTGAAGAGGTCAGGGCCATCTTCTCGAGAGTCTGTTCCATAATGTAGAGATATTTGGAAAGATGCTGTTCGAATTGGAACTTCTTTTTTTTAGTAAAGAAAGATGCGGGACATTTTTCACTCTTATGTTGATGGCGTGGCGAATCTTAGCTCTAAAGTTCTGAACTGGTGGAAATAAGGAATGTACGATGTCAAGACATTTTCATAGAAATAGCGATGGAATATCAATAGAGGCTTGCGACGTTGCGTCTGTAGGTGAGGGTTTGTCAGGTGGAAAAGAAGTAATCGCTTACAAAAACTGCTTGAACGTTTTTGAAGGTGGGATGAAATGGGATTTGTGAGGATTAGGAAAATGGATAACGATTGGACGTTGATTTGTAGAAGTCAGTATTAAAGTTTTCCGAGAAGTATCTACACGGGAATCTGTTTAACAAATTGGCGGTTCTTGGGAAGTAAAAGTCTTGGGAAATAACCTTCTGTGTGGAACTTCCTTCTTAGATGACGGAGGAAATCAGGATGATTCAACTCTGTGGAAATAACATGACGTGCCGTAGCAGTAAAGATCTGAATTGGTGGAAACAGTAAGTGAACCTCATCTGAACAGATGCCATGAACTTCATATAAACATTTGCAATGGAGTAATGGAAGGATGGTTCTGTAGAAAAATGGCTGTATAGTAGAGAATAGGTAATACCCTGCAAGACCAATTAATTGATCTTGAACACTATCAGGAATGGATGATTAGGATGCTAGAACAATTATTCTGCAAGGTAGAGTTGGTGAATGTTCTTTAGCAAGGCTGGGGACCGAGTGATTTAAACTAAGAAAATGTTCTGCTTTTATTGAGAATATAGATAAAGGCAATAAATCACCGATGATATAAAAAAAATCCTACCAGTCTTTTAGCACATTTCCTTACCTGTATTGTTTATAAACTCTTACACCATCTGAAATTCGAAATCTTTCTTTTTCTGCATGACATTCAGCTATTGTTCGAAGATTTCACGAACTTTGGCAGTTAGTTACCATTTTTAGAACTTCGCACATACTTTGCTGGAGATTGACAATTTTTATTTTTCTAAACTCTCATCCATTTCTTCTGTGCTTAGTAAGTTTACAATTTTCTTGAAACTTTGATTTCGTATCTCTAAGTTGTGAAAGAAGACATTTAAAGCAAAAAAAGATTAGAGAAAAAATGAAAAGAGAGAAAGTTATGGACGAAGGATGAAATGGCGTCGGGTGAAAGAAAATAAGAAATATGTTTATGGCGCGAGAAATAAACTCAATTTCGAAAGAGAAAGGAAAAAAAAAACGATAGAAAGGAAGAAATGAAAAAAAGATAAGATAACAATAAAAAGACGGAAAGAAACTAGACAGAAACAAAATATATCATTGTAAAGGAAAGCTAAGAGAATTAGGAGGGAAATGAGGATCGAAGAAAGACAGAAAGAAAGAAAGAAAGAGTTACATGAAAATAAAATAAAAAAAAGAAAGTGTATTACAAAGGAAGAAATAAGTAAAAATAATGGAATAAAAAGATAAAGAAAGAATTTGGAAAGAAGAAATAAAACGAGATAGGAGAATAAACAGATAAGGTAAAGAGAATTAGGAAGGAAAAAAGAAAGGAAGAAAGAAGAGAGAAAAAAGAAAGAAAAGAATTAAGAAGAAAGAAAGAAGAAAATTAGTAAGGAAAAAATAAAAAAAATCAGAATGGAAATAGCGAATGAAAGAAAGAACGAATGAAAGAAATGAAAAATATATGAATAAAACAACGAATGAAAGAGAGGAAAGAAAAAATAAAAGAATATAGATGTCTAAAAGAAAAAAAAGGAAGTAAATTAAAAAGGAATAAATAAATGGTCGGGGAATGAAAGAAAGAAACAAAGAAAGAAAGAGTTCTTTCTTTCTCGGGGAACGAAAGAAAGAATGAAAAAGTTAACGATAAAAGAAAATTAGGAAGACAGAAATAAAAGAATTCGAGGAATAAAGAAAGGAAGAGAATGAGGAAGAGACCGAGGAAAGAAAGTAAAAAAAGAAAGAAAAGGAATTAGGAAGAAAAAATAAAAAAAGATACGAGAAAAAACCAGAAAGGAAATAGAGAATAAAAGATAGAAGGTAAGAGGAAATGAAAAATATATAGATAACAGAACGAATAAAATAAATGGTTGGGGAACAAAAACAAAACAAAAAAAAAACAAAAAGAAAAAAGAAAGAAAAATAGGAAGGCGGCAGCAATAAAAGAAAATTGAGGAAACATGAGAATTAAGAAAGAAAGAAAGAAAGAAAGAAAGAAAGAAAGAAAAAAGAAAGAAAAAAGAAAGAAAGAAAGAAAGAAAGAAATTTGAAAGAAGAGAATTACAAAGGAAGAAATTAAAAAAAATACGGAAGAAAGAGATTTAAGGAAGGAAGATATAAAATATAAAGGAACGAGAAGGAAGAAGGAAATCAAATTAAGAAGAAATAAATAAATATATAAGTTGTAATAAAAATGATGGAAAGAGCATTCAGGAGGAAGAAGAAAAATAAAATAGCGAATAAAACAAAGAAAGAAAGAAAGAAAGAAAAGACAAAAGATTAATAGAAAGAAAGAAAGAAAGAAAGAAAGAAAAAGACAGACTAAGGAAATGAGAAGTATACAAGATATACGAACTAAAAAAACCCAAAGAAAGTAAAACATTGAGAAAATAAATGATAGTGGAATATAAGATGTTGAGAAATTTTAGAAGGAGAAATAATGAAGTTACACGAATAAAATAAAGAAGGAAAGAGAATTAGAAAGGGAGACATGAAAGAAGAAGGATAAGAAAAGAAAGAAAGAAATTTTTATAGAGGAATAAAGAAGGAAAGAAAATTAGGAGGGAAGAAATAAAAGAAAATAGAGAAATAAAAGAACGTAAGAAAGAAAGAAAGAAAGAAAGAAAGAAAGAAAGAAAGAAGAAAAAAAGAAGGAAAAAAAAGAAAGAAAGAAGGTAGGAATGAATGAAAGAAAACAGTGGATTCAAATAAAGAATGAAAGAGACTCGGGAAGGAAGAGATAAAGATAGACGAATTAAAGAAAGAAGGAGAGAAGGGACAGAGTACAGGTGAATAAAAGAAAAAAAAACGAGAAAACAATTATGAAGGAATCAGTATGAATAAAAGAAAGAAGGAAAGAGAATTAGAAAGGGAGAAATAAAAATGTAATATCGAAAGAAAAAAGTCTCTGATAATCATGTGAAACATTAAACAGTTTTGTTATTTTTCGATTCTCCGGCTTAAACTTTGCTGCAAGCAACTTTTAAGAAGTTATTTAAACAATTAAAAGTGAAAAAAAAATGTCTGAAATATTGTCGCGTTAGTTGAAATCAGAAATTTTTTTTCTAATAAGATTTTCGGTTTGCTTGTTGAAATCTTTTGTCATCGTCTCGTCTAGTCTGTGGTGCCGACCAGTTCTGTTCAACACCTGATGAAAACAAAATCTACTTCGAGACAACGAAGCAACGCGAGATTACAAAACGAAAATAGAAGACACATAAAAAAAAAAAGGTATTTTTCTAATTTACTAAATCATTAGATGAAATTGCCGCCATTATTTTATTCCAGACGTCTTTGCCTTTAACTTACATTCACTTATTACTGGCAATGAAAAAATTTAATTTGATTATTTCCCCCATATATTTCTATTCTTTTCGATGTATTCCTTGTCGCCATATGTCTTTTCCTTTTCTTTCGCTTTTGGCATTTCTTTTCTTTTCTTTCTTTCATTCTTTTATTTTAAAGTTTGCTTATCTTTCCCGCTCTTCTCTACGACATTCTTTCTTTCTTTCCATGATTTTATAAGTTTGATTGTCGTTTCGCTCTCTCCCTCATTAATTTTTTTCTTTTATTCTTTCTTTCTTTGATCATACAAGTTTGCCTATTGTTTTTTTACCTTTCTTTTTCACTTCTTTTTTTCCTTTCTTTGATTTTACAATTTGCCTGTTGTTTTTTACCTCTTTACTCCATTTCTTTCTCTCTTTCTTTCTTTCTTTCTTTCTTTTTTAGTTTTACACATTTGCCTGTTGTATTTTTACCTCTCTACTCCATTTCTTTCTTTCTTTGATTTTACAAGTTTGTCTGTCATTTCCCCATTTCTGTGATTTTACAAATTTTCCTGTCTTTTCCCTCTCTTCTCCACTTCTTTCTTTCTTTCTTTCTTTCTGTGATTTTGCAAATTTTCCTGTCTTCTTCCTCTCTTCTTTCTTTCTTTCTTTCTTTCTTTCTTTCTTTCTTTCTGTGATTTTGCAAATTTTCCTGTCTTCTTCGTCTCTTCTTTCTTTCTTTCTTTCTTTCTTTCTTTCTTTCTTTCTTTCAGTGATTTTGCAAATTTTCCTGTCTTCTCCCTCTCTTCTCCACTTCTTTCTTTCTTTCTTTCTTTATTTCTTTCTTTTTTTCTTTCTGTGATTTTGAAAATTTTCCTGTCTTCTCCCTCTCTTCTTTCTTTCTTTCTTTCTTTCTTTCTTTCTTTCTTTCTTTCTTTCTTTCTGTGATTTTGCAAATTTCCCTGTCTTCTTTCTTTCTTTCTTTCTTTCTTTCTTTCTGTGATTTTGCAAATTTTCCTGTCTTCTCCCTCTCTTCTCCACTTCTTTCTTTCTTTCTTTCTTTCTTTGATTTTACAATTCGCCTGTATTTTGCTTCTCTTACGTTCTATTTCGTTCATTTTCCTCTATCTACCGCTCAAGCCATTGGCTATTTCCTTTTCGGTAATCCGTTTTATCATTATCTATTTCATTCCTTATCGCTTTTACTCTAACAATTCTTATATTTCGTCTACAATTTTTTTGTCTTTCGCCCATAGCGCACAAAAGAGACCCACTCACTAGACAATTCTTCCTCTCACCATACAAAAAAAAAAAAAACAAAAAAAACCCCAAAAAACTCAAATTTCTATTTGCTCTAAAAGAAAACTTCTCTGGGGATTTAGTGTCTAATAAACAGAACTATTCCCGAAAGTCTGTAAGATGTAAATTAATTCAAGAGAGGGAAACCAAAATGAAAAAAAAAAAAAAATATATATATATATATCTTGTCGACAACAATTCTATCATTACATTATTTGTCTGTCTCCCGATTTGTTACCTGGACAGGTATACTTTTGGTGTATACTATAGCTATTCCTTAATTCACTTACAAACAAATATCGATCAGGCTAGAGGTCCCCGAAGTGGGGACAATTACCCCCCAAAGGAATAGTTTGAGTGTTTTTTTTAACGGGTAATGGCTGCTTAAAAAAAAAGAAACTTTTTCCATTGTGTGGATATAGAAGTAGAGTTAAGAATATTTAACAAATGTTTTATTATTTTTCAATTTTGTTTGTTGGCAACGAACGTTAAGGCATTTAAGGGAAGGCTGAACCTCATCTAAACTTTTGGTGCTGGGTACAGCGTCATGGGGTTTGTCTGTTGACTGAGATACATTTATATTTGCTATCGAAATCTCTGGTAAAAAAAGTTAATGTTCCAAGTTTTCTCAAACTTGAAGACAAGTTCCACATGGTCTTTCTACAGCATTTTGGTTAGAATTCTTTGAAATTCTTCCACATCGTCTTCACCATTTTTTACAGCTTATCAACCTTCTGCAGGTTATTTCTGCGACAGAAACTATTTTTAGATCGTAATAATTTTTGGTGGGGTGGGGGAGATAATAACGATTTACTAACATACGGAGGTAAGATAGCGGCTCGGATTGAGGAATCGGGGAGGCGAGTTCGAATTCCAGTCGGGTCCATTGCATTCATTTACGTGGTAATACACTTGGGAAAGGTATGAATCCTTTTCTTGCAACCCCGAACAGACCGAGTTCTATAGCCTTGAATGGCAACTGGTCTACCGCAGAAAGAAATGGCAACCTACTGCGGGAAAAATATGCCTCATCAGTCATGTATGTACATGATCGCCTAAGCGTGTATCACGCCTGGCACATAACTGAATACAAGTTCTACTAATTAGTCTTTAGTTGGCGGGGGAACAGGTGTATTTACACCTTCCCCAAGGGTATTTGCGCGTAAGTGAATATAACGAACGCAATTGGAACACGGTTCTTCGATTTCCAAAAGAGTGCCATTATCCATTACACAAGGCGCACTTTCAAGCTTACAGCATCTAATATTCCCAAGCGGTCAGCCACCTAGGTACTGACTAGGCTAGCGTTGCTTAACTTCGGTGATCATACAGAAATCGGTGTTTCAAGGTGGTATATTCGTAAGGTTGCTGAGAAAAGACCTTTTCTAATTTCTTCGATGTTACATGAGACTTTATTATTCTCCGCATTACGATCAAAGTCCTCTACCTGATTTCACACCCGACTCTTTGGTCAGTTGATGCTGTTTTCCCCGTATGATAATGATAATAGTGACCGAGGCGTTATCAGTACGGTCGGTTGAAGTATATAGAATTTTCTCTTAATACAGTTTTTTAAGTCCATTGTTATGTGCTCTTTCAGGAACGGATGAGTTTCCTTCCTATACCTTTTGTTTGAAGCAGTTTACGTCGAAAGTACTTCAAGGGATTACTAATAAATATATTACAAACATTACCGATAACTATATAAACACACTTCAAAATAAATATATTACATTACCAAACTTTATTGAATACATTCTTGAAGAATCTAACGTATATATCCATGTGGTATGTACGTAAAAACGATCCCAAATCAACATGCGAAAAACAAACAAACATGTCTACTGTACACAAACACACACGCACACACACATATACACACACAAATACACACACATATGCATACAATTATGAATATACATTATCATCTAAATCCCACAAAGACAAAAAAGAATTATTATACACTTACACACATAAAGCAATATTTACGGTTTTTCTGTTAGGCTTGGAATCAGTTAATTTCTTGGAACTTCGAAAAGACGCATCGTCTCCCCTTGAATTCGAAACACCATAAATTATACCAAGGATTGTTTAGTAAGCAAGAGAAACCTGATTAACCAATGAAAATCAAACACAAAAGCAAAAATACCAAAATTTATTTATTTCATTTTCTCCATATCATATTCTCTGATGAAGCTTTAATAAAAGTGAAACATTTCAGATTGATAAACCTTTCCTATTTGTTCTTTATCCTATCCTATCATATCACATTCTCTGATGAAGCTTTAATAAAAGTGAAACATTTCAGATTGATAAACGTTTCCTATTTGTTCTTTATCCTATCCTATCATATCACATTCTATGATGAAGCTTTAATAAAAGTGAAACATTTCAGATTGATAAACGTTTCCTATTTGTTCTTTATTCTATCCTATCATATCACATTCTATGATGAAGCTTTTTAATAAAAGTGAAACATTTCAGATTGATAAACGTTTCCTATTTGTTCTTTATCCTATCCTATCATATCACATTCTGATCTTTAATAAAAGTGAAACATTTCAGATTGATAACCGTTTCCTATTTGTTCTTTATCCCATCCTATCATATCACATTCTATGATGAAGCTTTAATAAAAGTGAAACATTTCAGATTGATAACCGTTTCCTATTTGTTCTTTATCCTATCCTATCATATCACATTCTTTAATAAAAGTGAAACATTTCAGATTGATAAGTTTCCTATTTGTTCTTTATCCTATCCTATTTAATGAAGCTTTAAAAAGTGAAACATTTCAGATTGATAACCGTTTCCTATTTGTTCTTTATCCTATCCTATCATATCACATTCTATGATGAAGCTTTAATAAAAGTGAAACATTTCAGATTGATAACCGTTTCCTATTTGTTCTTTATCCTATCCTATCATATCACATTCTATGATGAAGCTTTAATAAAAGTGAAACATTTCAGATTGATAAACGTTTCCTATTTGTTCTTTATCCTATCCTATCATATCACATTCTATGATGAAGCTTTAATAAAAGTGAAACATTTCAGATTGATAACCGTTTCCTATTTGTTCTTTTATCCTATCCTATCATATCACATTCTCTGATGAAGCTTTAATAAAAGTGAAACATTTCAGATTGATAAACTTTCCTATTTGTTCTTTATCCTATCCTATCATATCACATTCTCTGATGAAGCTTTTAATAAAAGTGAAACATTTCAGATTGATAAACGTTTCCTATTTGTTCTTTATCCTATCCTATCATATCACATTCTCATTTCAGATTGATGAATCCTATCCTATCATATCACATTTTAAGCTTTAAAAAAGTGAAACATTTCAGATTGATAACCGTTTCCTATTTGTTCTTTATCCTATCCTATCATATCACATTCTCTGATGAAGCTTTAATAAAATGAAACATTTCAGATTGATAAAATTTGTTCTTTATCCTATCCTATCAAACATTTCAGAAACATTTCAGATTAAACGTTTCCTATTTGTTCTTTTTTATCCTATCCTATCATATCACATTCTATGATGAAGCTTTAATAAAAAAGTGAAACATTTCAGATTGATAACCGTTTCCTATTTGTTCTTTATCCTATCCTATCATATCACATTCTCTGATGAAGCTTTAATAAAAGTGAAACATTTCAGATTGATAACCGTTTCCTATTTGTTCTTTATCCTATCCTATCATATCACATTCTCTGATGAAGCTTTAATAAAAGTGAAACATTTCAGATTGATAACCGTTTCCTATTTGTTCTTTTATCCTATCCTATCATATCACATTTGTTCTTTTAAAAATCCAGATTGATAACCGTTTCTATTTGTTCTTTTATATCCTATATCACATTCTCTGATGAAGCTTTAATAAAAGTGAAACATTTGAGATTGATAACCGTTTCCTATTTGTTCTTTATCCTATCCTATCATATCACATTCTCTGATGAAGCTTTTAATAAAAGTGAAACATTTCAGATTGATAACCGTTTCCTATTTGTTCTTTATCCTATCCTATCATATCACATTCTATGATGAAGCTTTTAATAAAAGTGAAACATTTCAGATTGATAACCGTTTCCTATTTGTTCTTTATCCCATCCTATCATATCACATTCTATGATGAAGCTTTAATAAAAGTGAAACATTTCAGATTGATAACCTATTTGTTTCCTATTTGAAACATTTTTTAAACATCCTATCCTATCATATCACATTCTATGATGAAGCTTTAATAAAAGTGAAACATTTCAGATTGATAACCGTTTCCTATTTGTTCTTTATCCTATCCTATCATATCACATTCTCTGATGATGAAACATTTAATAAAAGTTTTTTATCCTATCCTATCAACATTTCAGATTGATAACCGTTTCCTATTTGTTCTTTATCCTATCCTATCATATCACATTCTCTGATGAAGCTTTTAATAAAAAGTGAAACATTTCAGATTGATAACCGTTTCCTATTTGTTCTTTATCCTATCCTATCATATCACATTCTCTGATGAAACTTTTAAAAGTGAAACATTTCAGATTGATAAACGTTTCCTATTTGTTCTTTATCCTATCCTATCATATCACATTCTATGATGAAGCTTTAATAAAAGTGAAACATTTCAGATTGATAACCGTTTCCTATTTGTTCTTTATCCTATCCTATCATATCACATTCTCTGATGAAGCTTTAATAAAAGTGAAACATTTCAGATTGATAACCGTTTCCTATTTGTTCTTTATCCTATCCTATCATATCACATTCTCTGATGAACTTTTTTAATAAAAGTGAAACATTTCAGATTGATGTTTCCTATTTGTTCTTTATCCTATCCTATCATATCACATTCTCTGATGAAGCTTTTAATAAAGTGAAACATTTCAGATTGATAACCGTTTCCTATTTGTTCTTTTTTATCCTATCCTATCATATCACATTCTATGATGAAGCTTTAATAAAAGTGAAACATTTCAGATTGATAACCGTTTCCTATTTGTTCTTTATCCTATCCTATCATATCACATTCTCTGATGAAGCTTTAATAAAAGTGAAACATTTCAGATTGATAACCGTTTCCTATTTGTTCTTTATCCTATCCTATCATATCACATTCTCTGATGAAGCTTTTAATAAAAGTGAAACATTTCAGATTGATAACCGTTTCCTATTTGTTCTTTATCCTATCCTATCATATCACATTCTGATGAAGCTTTTAATGAAAAAAGTGAAACATTTCAGAATTAAAATGAAACATTTCAGATTTAACCGTTTATTTGTTCTTTATCCTATCCTATCATATCACATTCTATGATGAAGCTTTAATAAAAAGTGAAACATTTCAGATTGATAACCGTTTCCTATTTGTTCTTTATCCTATCCTATCATATCACATTCTCTGATGAAGCTTTAATAAAAGTGAAACATTTAATTGATAAAATTTGTTCTTTATCCTATTTCATATCACATTCTATGATGAACCTTTTAAAAAAGTGAAACATTTGATTGATAACCGTTTCCTATTATTCTTTATCCTATCCTATCATATCACATTCTCTGATGAAGCTTTAATAAAAAGTGAAAAATTGATAAACATTTGTTCTTTAGATTGATAACTTTTCTATGATGAACCGTTTTAATTTCCTGAAACATTTGATTGATCCGTTTTTATTTGTTCCTATCCTATCATATCACATTCTATGATGAAGCTTTAATAAAAGTGAAACATTTCAGATTGATAACCGTTTCCTATTTGTTCTTTATCCTATCCTATCATATCACATTCTCTGATGAAGCTTTAATAAAAGTGAAACATTTCAGATTGATAACCGTTTCCTATTTGTTCTTTATCCTATCCTATCATATCACATTCTATGATGAAGCTTTAATAAAAGTGAAACATTTCAGATTGATAACCGTTTCCTATTTGTTCTTTATCATATCATCCTATCATATCACATTTCTCTGATGACCTTTTTCCTATTTTTCTTTTAATCATAAAAGTGAAACATTTCAGATTGATAACCGTTTCCTATTTGTTCTTTTTTATCCTATCCTATCATATCACATTCTATGATGAAGCTTTAATAAAAGTGAAACATTTCAGATTGATAACCGTTTTCCTATTTGTTCTTTATCCTATCCTATCATATCACATTCTCTGATGAAAGCTTTTAATAAAAGTGAAACATTTCAGATTGATAACTGTTTCCTATTTGTTCTTTATCCTACATTTCACATTCTTGATGAAACTTTAATTGAACATTTCAGATTGATAACTGTTTCCCTATTTGTTCTTTATCCTATCCTATCATATCACATTCTCTGATGAAGCTTTAATAAAAGT